TCCTGCGTAATCTTATATAAGAATTTGATAAGAATCAGGTAAGATTCTTACGTGAATCTTATTGGGTACTTATAAGTTTCTTATAAGATTCTTAACTGATGCTTATATAAGAATCGACGCCTAGGGTCGATAAACTGTAACCTTTTATTGAAAAAAGAAAGGAAAGAAGAAAAAAGCATACAGGTCACGCAACCATACACGTGTACGAACAGAACAAAAGCAAAAGACTATTTTGCTTGACTATTGAAGAACAATCTCGATTATATAAAAGACGAAGTGTGAGGGGGTACTACTGGCTTTTTGTATTGAAATGCGCTTTTCTCTCGAAAATAAAAGACATAACGCTGGAATCAACCTGTATTGTGCATCTAAATACAAAAATTAAACTATAAAAACTAAATGGAGTCAGCTCATGTTCTTGCCTGCCGGAAAGAAATCTATAAGTTGAATGAAGCGTGTGTGACATTCCATAAGACGTTCAGGTGGAGGACAAAAAATTCACGGCTCCTGGAAGAGATTGATTCGAAATCGCCATTCCATTTTATCGATTACAAAGAGGCAGGAAATATGACATATTTGCAAAAAATAATACAATAGTGATTGATTGCAAAATGTACACTAATGTGTGTTCTAAACAGTAGTTACCGGCCTGTAAAAAGTTCTTACATAGTTCGCCAATTTTGAATTCAGAAGTAGAACCAGGATGAAGACAGCCGTTTTTTTTTGCCTCATTTGAAATCTTTGCGAATTTGTAACTGTATTGCACACATTTTTCTGTAACTAATTAAGATGAGAACAAATTTTGTTCGCTGTACTCGTTTTCGTGACCTTAGTTTCAATACCGTGTAGAAGACATTTAAGTAGTACGTCGTTAATAGCGAAGATGGAAAAGATGCATCCTTAATAATTGTGGTTTTTCTTAAACAGCTGTACTGTTTTCTCTTTTTTCTGGGCCTAAGGATTTTTTCTATCCATGCTGACACGTGTCTCTATAGAGTCTTTAATGATATCGAGATTATTCTTCAATAATCTTTTTGCTTTTGTTCTGTTCATACACGTGTATGGTTGTGTGGCCTGCATACTTTTGTTCTATTCAAACACGTGTATGGTTGCGTGGCCTCCATGCTTTTTTCTTCTCTCTCTCTCTCTTTGTTCCTCCCTCTTTCTCCTATAAAAGACCTAAGACAAGAATATACTCTTCATTTTATTCACAGTGAAATTCAAGTGTATTTCATCGAAACAGTTCGTTCGTTTATATTAACGTTTACACACGTATATACAATCAGTTAAAACAATCGACTTTTGAAAGGTAATGAAGCATGAATCTTTTGTTTTGTATCAGAATATGTGAATTAGTCCAAGAGAATTGGAAAGTGTATAGCTATACCTTTCTTTATTTTTTTCATTTCGTTGTTTTGTTTCTCTCAGGAATAAATAAAACATTAATCAAGTATAAAGACAGAAATTTCTATTGTTTATATGACTTGAAAATGAGACGCTCAAATTGAGTTCAATATTTGCAGAAATTCTTGCTAATACTACGCAGATATTCGTTTATTCTGCAGCTTACTTGCGATAGTAGTATATTGCATGAAAAAGAATATATGTCGTCAGCTGCCTCTAAATACTTTTTTTTCCATTTCATTCTTGTATAAAAACGCTGTTCTTTCTTCTGATTCTTCGATTTTCTTTTTTGTAGCATCTGGTTTTGTGTTTCACGCAGCTATCTTCTTAACGTGTTTACAAGGAGACTCTCGAACACATGTATAATATGGATAACCTTAGCAAAATGATTGGTAGTTTTTTTGTAGATTTTCCCTGCAGTTTTTTTGAAACGGGTGTTTGAACTAACAAAAGATCCAGAATAAACTGGCAAAAGGGTTTTTAACATCGTAAATATTACCATAAGATTCGGTCGCAGAGTCCATGTAATTGTATTTTAGGAGCGAAGTTAGACTTTAGCGCTCTATTTTGTGTTTTTTTTGGTAAAATAATACGACAATAGGAAACCCAGATGAACCATGTCTTGTAAGACCTTGCAAGATCTGATGTTTTCTTGTGAAATCTTGTAATAAGATCTTACGATATGATCTTACAAGATCTTGTTATAAGATAATCAAAGGTCTTATGGAATCTTATAACTTGTCGTAAGATCTTCTAATTGTAAGTGACAAGACCTTACAAGAGCATATCACAAGAATTCATATGATCTTGTAAATTCTTGTGACAAGAAAATATATAGAAGTCAACAATGCCTGCCCAGGTCAAAAAATCAGATCAAGATCTTACATGATCTTGTGAAATCTTATAGAAAATCATAAAAACGAATTTATCTTATAAAATGTTATAAAAATCATACAAGAATCTTACGAAATCTGATAAAATGTTACTATAAGATCTTAAATCAGGAATCAGTTTCTATGTTTCTTACAGAATCTTATAAATTCTTATACGAATCGTACAAAATCAGACGTACAAGAATCTTATAAGATCCCACAGTAAGATTCTTTGACCTGGATGGCACAACGTTTTGTAAGATCGATGACTTATCTCTACTACATAAATTTCGCGACGATATATAGTATATGTATATATATAACATTCTCTTTGAAAAACTGAAAACTTTATTCTCTTTTCAACTTCACACGTCAGCTGAGTACATGGAAGTGTACAGTTAAGAAACGTGACAAAAGACGGTCCTGTGGCCGCCTAGGATATGTGAATGTTAGAAATTATATAGGAAAAGAAAATTGCAGAGGTATAGAGAGATTCGATAGGAAATCATCAAGTGTATGACCTTGAAAGATCAGATGAATTCTCATAAGATGTGACTCTCATAAGGACGTGTCATTTCTTATAGCTTCTTTCTGTAAAATCTTATGAAATCTTGTACAGTTTTAGCAAGATCTTGTACGATCATATGAAATCTTGTGATATGATCTTGCAAGCTCAGTTGACAAGATTTGTCGGCTTCGGAAGAAAAGAATAAAAACATGTTACTACTATCTTTTGGTTATCCGACAAAATAAGAAGTCACATCACATAAGTTCTCTCTCAGATGATTCAAATATGAATTTAATCACATTATAGACTCTAAAACTTCTAATTTTTCATTATAGATCACAGAATAAGACAGTAGGGGTAAATTACAGATTTATTAAAGTTTCAATATAAATAAACGTACTACAAAAGAAACAGACTAAAATAGAAAGAAGAATAGAAGTTATCATTGTAGATTTTTAAGATTATTATTTCTGATATTCGCTGGACACCCTACCCTGTAGGTACCACTTCAACTTTTTACCGCTATTCAAAATGTTAATTCTAATGCTCAAACTGTTTTCCTTTGTGTCCATTGTAGTATATAAAAGCTTAAAAAATGAGTCAGAATCAGAATTCAAGTGGACAGACAGGCGATAATGATGTACTGCATCACAGCAGTGGTATACGTAATACGTACGGTGGAGGTGCTCAAGGTGGTCTTGGCCCATATCAACGTACACCTGCAAATTATGCTGGCGGTCCTGGTCCACATGCCAACACACAAATCACATTACATGCACAAAACGGTCAAACGAAACAGACAACTACCGATGCACAAGGTGCAATTTCAGATCAAGATCGGCAATGGTTAGCGGACAATGGCGGTGCGTTACCAATTAGCTCGATTCCTCCAGAAGATAAAGCCGTTGTTGGTATGTTTTCATGAAAGTTTCATTTATAATGAAAAATTTTATTTGTTTTTACTTAAGGTACCGGTACTAGGGCAGCCTCTCAAATGAATGCCGATGCTAGTCAAGTTGGAACAAAACCGTTTGATACACGACCACCTGGTTCATTCAATCCAAATCAACAGGGAGGACAACAAGGTGGAAATCAACAGGGAGGACAACAAGGTGGAAATCAACAGGGAGGACAACAAGGTGGAAATCAACAGGGAGGACAACAAGGTGGAAATCAACAGGGAGGACAACAGGGTGGAAATCAACAGGGAGGACAGCAAGCTGGATTGAATCAAAATAGTACGTAAACAGTAACTGAAGTTCGATGTAATACTCAAAAACTTTTTTTCTCTTTTTTCAGCTGCATATACCAAAGCCGAACTTGATAACCGTGCTAATCAATTGAACCCAAATAATCCACGGTACGTTTTGTATCAATATATAAAATCCTTTTGTTAAATTATATTGGTTTTTATTTTTTCAGTTATGGAGGTCATCAGGAACGATTATTGGCTCAACAAGAAGCAGCGGAAGCACAAATGCTGCATCAACAAGCTTTGGCCACTGGACTCAATAATCCCATGGGTCAACAGTTAGAGCAAAGTAAAGACAAAGGGACTACACAGCAGAAAGAAGCGTCCAGAACTCTTGTGAATGCTTTTTCTTTGGATATTAAACACAAAAAAATCTTCGTTTTGAAATCTGACATATTTTCAAAAGAAAACCTTTTTGTTTCACTCTTCATCTCGCCTTACATCGTTACTAATGATAAGTGAAACAAAATCAGTTTTTTTCTAGAGTCTGACTGAATTTAACAAAAAGAAAAATTTTATTTTGACAGATCTTTCTTAACTGCTTCTCAGTACTCTTTGTAGAACGTCTATCTGCAAAGAAACTCGTGCTGCATTCTACTTGGACTCGTTCTTTCAAGCATATGTAAGTTAAAACCACGACAAAGTATCAAGGGTACCCCCCTCCTCTTTTTTTACCCTGTCTCGGGTTCTAATTTATACCAGAAATAGAACATCGAAAAAGAAAATCTATGTATTTTTGCCCAAAATTTTCTGACGTGTTCTTCTATGGGTTTTCTGGAAAGCTCCAGTTTTCATTCGCACACATTACGACCCCTCAAAAAAATGATCCGATCGTGCTCAAAATTTTATCACAGATACTTCAGATCCTATCTCCAGTTCGTTTTTTTCTTTTCAAAAAATATTCTTTCCTTCTCGAGATATACGGAAAATACTGAAAATCTCAGATAAAAAACCGTTTTTTTATTTTGAAAACCTTCTCACGCCGAAAGTTGTAGTCGAAAACGCTTTTAATAAAAACGAACCTGAGATACGGTCTGAAGTATCTGTGGTAAACTTTTGAGCTCGATCGGACGATTTTTTCGAGGGCTCGTAATGTGTGCCAATTGAAGGGAGTATTAAAAAAACGCATAGTGATAAGAACACATATTGTACACAAGGCTCTGTTTTTCAGGGCATTATATCTCTAAGAAAACTCATCGGAAAATTCTGGAATACATTTCACTTTGAAGAGCACACTTTCTTCTATCATGCTATATATAAGAAAAAATTTTGAATATATAGAAAAGGCGGGAAAAATTTATGAACCAAAAAAAGTGAGATTTTCTAAGCTTTGAAGGAAAAACTTAAAAAGTTCATAATTTTTTCAAGGAAGGTCATCTAGAGCTGGGAGTGGTCTCATTTTATAGCCCGGTCCATACTTTCCTCTACATTAGACTCAGTTCAGCTCAAAATGACAATTTTTCTGCAAAAAAGAAAGGTGTGTACCCTTAAAAGAAAGTAAGACTTTTTCTTCTTACCAGAACACGTCATCGAAAATACCATCAGAAATACTGAATACCAGGTTTTTTTCGTCCACTCTGGTCTTAAGATGTTTTAGCTGATTCTATAAAGAGTTTTTCTGTATGGTGTTCCACCTGATTTAGTATGAATTTCTGTGAGCGTTTTTTCACCTTTTGCTCTGATCAACGCTATTTTTTCTGACATGTAATATTCGTTATAAAGTCTGGTGGCTTTCATTTATATTTTTCTTCATATTTTAGCTGCACAAGCTGAATTGATGGATGCACAAATGTTAGCTCAACAAGCTGCAATGTTAGCTGCACAACAGCAAATACCATTAGCTGCTCGAGTTCCTGGTGCAGCTGGTGGACGTGGACGAGGTATGATCTAAAACAAAAACAGTCTCTTTCTCAGAAGCATTATCGATGTTATTTGGCATTGATTTAGGTCGAGGTAGAGGTAGAGGACGGGGACGAGGTATGTTTTTACAACAAAAACTGTAATGATTATGTAATATTGAAATTGAGTACTTTAGGTCGAGGACGTGGTCGTGGAGGAAGTGGTGGTGCGGGAGGACAAGGTCAACAACAACAGCAGCAAGGTGATGACAATAACAATGACGATCAAGGAGATTATCATGAAGGTAAACTTCGTATCCACTTAGGCATTAATACTTTATCATCGAAAAATTTCTGTCACACTTTTGCTCTCTTTTTGAAACGTTTATTTTGCCAAGACATGCAAACCCTGAGATAACAAAGGGAAAAACGTTGGCATAAACACTAATATCCATCAGCCATGTTTTGAATTATTAAAAATCATTTCTTTCGTGATACAACTTTTTTCTCTCTACAAGTGGAAACGATCGCTTTTCGCGCAAAAAACCAAATACCATAATTAATCTTTCACACAGTGTTTTCGATATAACGTTTTCGAGTGGAAGGAAAGTTTTACTCAAAAACTCTTTCTACATTTTTGGACTGGGTAACCAAAAAAAGTAAACGTTATTAGTTTTTTGAGGTGAGCAATTCTTTTTCGCTCAACTCTCAACTCAACTTTTTTCTTAGCGGAGTAATTCGTTTGAAAGAGAGAACACTACTGACAGTCTAAAAGGCGTTGATAGTGCTAGTATCGATGCTTGAGATATTATTTACCTTTTATTAATTAATAAATAATTTTCTTTGATTTAGGAGATGAAGACGGGGATTACGATGAAGGAGACGAAGGTGAAGATCATGGTAAGCTATTAAATTTATCTTTTGGTACTTTTATGAGAATATTTTCAGTTAAAAATGACTTCGATACCAATTATTCGGGCTCTGAATACTTTATTTATTTAGAAGAACAAACAGGAGCTGGTGATACTCAACAAGGACTTCCGCAACGTGATACAAGTAAACAACAATCTCAATCTGGTAGTGGCAATAATCAGCAGCAAACGGGCGTTAGTGCACAATAATAATAGTTAAAATTAGAAAAAACAAACTAGTCAGCCATATTCTTGGTAATTAAAAAAAACTTGTTTTTTTTATTTGTTTTTGGTTTGTTTGTGTATAAGATTTTAAATTTTTTTTCTCTTTTTCGACTGAAAGTGTGTATACATTCGAACTTTATCCCAGCATTGTTTTAGTTTGTTGGTTTTGATTGTCGTCTCCGTGAGTAGATAGTCCAAAGTGTTCTCTTTAAAATGAGGGTAAAACGGGCTCTTGATTTTGTGGTCGTTTAGGCGTAGTATCGGATTTCTTGAGAGCCTTAGAATCAATATTCCTTTAAGTGTGATCATTTCGAAAACAAATAGAAACATATGTAATCCACCACGCTGAATCTCGTGGTAATATATGCGTTTCAATAACCTAGTGAAAATCTATATTAAGTGAAATAACTCAATTTTGCCTATTTTTGTCTAAAACTGAAAATTCATAACCCAAGCAAGATCCATCCAGCTTATGTCAGAATATCACCATTTACTCTTCACTGAGTTATGAATTTTCAGTTTTAGACAAAAATAGGCAAAATTGAGTTATTTCACTTAATATAGATTTTCACTAGGTTTTTGAAACGCATATATTACCACGAGATTCAGCGTGGTCGATTACATATGTTTCTATTTGTTTTCGGAATGAACACACCTAAAGAAATATTGATCCTAGGACTCTCAGGAAATCCAATACCACGTCTAAACGACCAAAAAATAAAGAGCTCGTTTTACTCTCATTTTAAAGAGAACACTTTGGACTATCTACTCACAAAGAAAAACAAAAATATTCGTACTTCAAGTTTTTGAGCTATGACTTGGTTTTCGAAAGATCGCCATGAAAACTTAGTTGAAAACAATATTTTCAAACCTTTTTTGTCATGAAAAGATGTGGTCAAGTCTCCTCTTTCGAATAGCGAAAACCGGAACCCTCTACCTGTGATTGTTCTTGACTTTATTTAAAGTATGACCGAGTACACCATTTCATTAGACAGACAGTAGTCAAGGTCTATTCGAACAGAGAAGAAAATAGTCAGTGAAAGCTCTGTTTTTTTTTGTTATGTGTATTTTTTGTTTTTCTGTTTAATTTTATCTTTACTGTTGACTGTTTTTCGTTTATATTAGAGGAAAAAGAAGCTCTAATTAAAACTCACACTAAGATGGGTATGTTCAGAAGATTGAATTGGGTACAGAACAAGCTGTTTCTTGAACCTTGCAAATTCATCGCTATTTTTTGAATTTTCAAATAATCTTTTAGAAATTGAGATTCTTATTCAGCATTAGAATCAGTCACACACTTAAAGTTGTGAATAATGCTCTCAATGATTCAAATAATTTCGTAATCTTTTATCCTTATATCATTATCAACGAATTGATACATTTATGCTCTTATCATTTCAATTACGAAATTGAAACAAAGTATCTCTACTGTTTGTTTGATTGTGTTCATCTATGATTTTTTCTATTTCAGCAAAGTGCTAGACAAAGTCTAATTGACTAAACATTTGCCATACACATTTATCTTTTTGGATATTTCATTTTTTGAATAATAAGAAAAACAAAGAATGTTATATATAATGCTGGTTAGAATTAACGGATGTTCCAGAATAAATCGGTCACTTAGTATTTTACTCATATCTTAATTGGATTTTATTCCCTAAACTTTGTTGTTTTCTTAAAAGATGTGTCGTAAAATTCTCTACAAAAAATATATTAAACATTTTCAATATATCGTAAAGAGAAAAGAATATAGAAGAAATACTGCGAAGCTTCGATCTCGATTACTTTGCAACTCAAAAAACAATTTTTTCAATTTTAGTCCTTCATACTTTGTGAAACAAAAAACAAGAAGATGGCCATTTGATAGCCCTTGAAAAGCTCTATCAAGTGTCTATATTTAAAACGTTTCGTAATCATAATCGGTTGTGGAAGAATTTTATTTCTTTTATCGACTGTCGTCGACATCAACATTTACCAACTGTAGTTTTGGTGTAGTTAGAAAAACGTTTATAACTCGATCAAAATCAAACACCTTTAGATAGGGTTTTCTTTATCTTAAAGTAAAATAATTCTTCTGTTATATCCGCACAGAGAAAGCTCAATATTTTCCTTTGTTTTCCTGTGTCACGACGAAAGAGACAAAATTTGCCGTTTTTTTGTTAGATTTTAGTACAATTATCTTTTGTCCAGAAAAACACGTTTAAGCCGAACCTATGATAGACGAAAAGAAAGACGACCCTTCAGAGCACCAGAACTTATGTTCATGATTCCACCTTTATGCATGACACCGTGCTAAATATTTTTTCAAAATATTTTTTTTCATTGTTTCTTGAATTACAAAGTAATCGAGATGGAAGCTTCGCAGTATTTCTTCTATATTCTTTCATCTTTACGATATATAGAAAAATATTTAATATATTTTTTGTAGAGAATTTTACGGCACATCTTTTAAGAAAACAGCAAAGCTTAGAGGATACAATTCAACTAAGATATGAGCAAAATACTAAGTGACCGATTTATTCTGAAACACCCGTTAAACGAGTTCATATTAAAATTTTATTCATTCCTAGGAATATTTTAAATTCTCCTACATTTCATTTATGCCTGCGACATATACATATATATGTATGTATGACTTCGGTGAAACGCGTATATACGCGTGTATACATGTTTTACCCGAGTCAACTAAACGAAAATCTGTTGCCTACGAGATAATTACCTGAATGTCGAAATTGGAAGAACTAGAAGTTAGGGATTAGTTTTTGTTTTAATTGCATTAATTGTTGATGAAGATTTTCTTGAAAATCTGTTGATTGAAATGCTGACTTCAGTTGTTCTTTGAATTCACTCCACGATGTGGGACGCTTACCCCGCACACGTAAATTTACGAACCATTGTAATGCCGTTCCATTCAAAACACTCGACGCCATTGTTATTCTTTCACTATCTGTCATATGTTGATTCTCGAACAATTCTTCCAAAGACACAACCCAAGTCACAACGTTTTCATTATTATTTCCATTAAATTCCTTTGGTTTAACATTAATTTTTCCGAGAGTTCTATGAACTGGTTCATACGTTTCATTTCGACTCGACAAATTTTTGTAACTGTGTCTAATCGAAGAATAAATGGTACATATGGTGCTGTAGTGCCATCCATTAGTTTTCTACTTCTTAGTTTTCCTTCTTTATTAATAAGTAAGTTAATATGTAGTTGATCTTATAAAAAGTGTTCGCCAAAGTATGCAATACCTGCTTGAGCGCAATGCGAACTATGATCTAGAAGGTTGCCTATACTCTTTGCGTTAAGGAAAGCCAAAGCACGGCGTGTGTGACTTCAAGCTTCATCTGCTCCTTCTTCCGGTTTCCCAAAGCAACCCGGTTCATTGTTACCATCCGCGCAGCTGCAAGCAGCTATACCACAATTGCAAAAATCAAATCTACCGCAAACGCATGAGAAAAAACTATCTCAAAAAGAAAACCAAATTGCACAAAAATTATGGTCTAACGAGAAAACATTAAGAGCTTTTAGTACAGCTGGCAACAATATATCAGATGAAGGGGCAAAAGCAATTGCAGACGCCTTGAAAACAATCCAAACATTAACAACTCTCGATTTATGCAACATCAAATTGCAAGAAGAAGATTGCAAATACGATAGTTTATATTTTTCTCATCCGAGATATCGGCGAGCGATCTGTTGAAACTGTTAGGACAAAGTACGATAAACCTTATAAAGATACATTCGAATTAGGGCTGCAATTTCTGTCTACTTTATTTGCATAGTGAGGAAAAGCATTTTTGCATGAAAACAAAGTAAATCAATCTGCTACAGAGGCCACATTAGTAAAGTATGCTTCAGTTAGAGAAATCAGGTATAATGGAAATTAAAGGTACTTTGGACTTCCTGGAATAAAGCAAACATAAAGTTGCTGCTCTAATTCAGACTTTTCTTTACATGACTACCTACGGCTAGGGCGTAATCACGGCTGCTGCGTCGTTTGGTGTAATCTTCACAATTTTTTCTGTTTTACAGAGATTTCTTTCAGGTGTTTTTTCACTCTCATGTTCTTAGGTTTGACAAACTATTTCTTTTAAAGCTTTAGTAGCGAATCGTTCGCTGATCGAACACGTTCGAACAGAGAAACGTCTGCTCTTATAAAGTCTGCTCTGTTAAAAAAACGAACATATTGGAAGTATATATATGTCAATGTATGTATCCACAATAAATCAAAGGAACCGAAATTATACATAATAAACTAAATTAGAATTGAAATTTTGACATGCTCCCTAAGCAATATAAAGGGTTACTGAATAAATAATGCAGTCGAATAAGGACAAAATTTGATAAAAGTATTACTAGAAGAACATTAAAATACTGAAAGATGCCATAAATAAAGGATGTTGTCGATTGCATAATAGATTATTAAGTTGAAATTCTTTTTTGTGGAAAAACTTTTTGAGTTTATGAATACTAGTTTCTTAGAAAATCGCTCTCGAAAGGCTCATGGACAGCTACGACTATGATATTCGGATTCAGCATAGCTGATACCGTAAAACACACTAGGCTTGGCTGAAAAAGCAATGAGACAGTTCGCGAGGTCCGAGTGGTAAGAACGACCAGCATGTTTTTACTTCTATAATGTGCTGATAACGTCGGTCACAGAAATTTTGAGGCTAAACTTTTGTACAACGAATTTTTGTTTATCACAGAAAACAGTACATCTAATTCACCACCTTCAAACTTAAGGAGACGTGTGACATTTGCATTGTTATCCGCATATACAGTACATTCACCATTGAGTCTGTTTCTATCTTTTCTAAATGGGGCCTGATAACTAGTGTGTAATACCGATACAGCGACATTACAGCGAACGCCCTTACCGCGAACGACAGTACCGCGAATACAAAAAACAACATTACCGCGAAGACTTCTTTATTGAAAAAGATTTCACACTTAACTAGTTCTTATGTAATACAGTCACACCTCAATGTGAAATTTATTCTTTCATACTTTTCTTCTTGTTGTTATGAAAACAATAAAACGGTAAAGAATTTATGTAGTACCGAGGGCTTCTCATAAATATTCCGTTTGTGTGAATTACATGAAGGCTGCGACTCCAACCAATGCACAACAGATAAATGGCTGATTGTATTTTATCATGAAAAAGTTATCGTTTTTTGAACAGCGCAAATAGCGGAATAGTCGGAGAATAGAAGAATAGCGACCGACCGACGGGAATATATGTTGAAACATTCTCTGATCTAGATGAGAGAAACGTAACAAATGACTCTCTCTAACTTGTGAACATTACAAGATGAATGAACTATTTTGGTTAAAATATAAAATTAGTGCTTTTCTTAGCTTATCCCACTGTCTATTGCGGACAAGAAATGAAAAGAGAACGGAATTTGCATAGAATGGAGAACGGTTTGATAATTACGTCAAAATTTGTAATTAAAAGAGAACGGAATAAAAAAAATCGAAAAGAGCACGGTTTTTTCGTTGAAAAGAGAACGCTTTTCATTTATGAAAATAAATAATGGGAAAGAACACGGTTTTTTCGTTGAAAAGAGAACGGTTTTGAATTGTGAAATAAAATAATTGAAAAGAGAACGGATTAATTAATTAATCAGTAACCAGGTTATTCTCGCCATATTCTTTAAGCCTCTCCCAATGATTGATAGAAATTCGACTATCATGCAAAACTTATATGTTTACATCTGAGTAAGCCTGAGTATTAACAAAAATAGCAATCTGTGTTCATCAAAATAATAGAGCAAGACTTGTTTTTTTTGGTCGTCCTCTGGGTTTTTTTCCAAGTGGTAAACGATCATTTGGTAATTTGTGTATGCCATATAGAATTTTGAGACCAACCAAATGTTTGCATATATACTCTTTACAAAAATATCGACAGGTACAGTACATTTGTTGCACAGAAACAATATGTGCAGATTCATACCAACGACGATAATTATCGAATGTATTAAATTGACAATGTTGATACATATCAATGCATTGTTGTACACCCAGTTGCGCATGGATCGTTGGTACTACTTGCTCATAGACATTCCAAGGCAATGGTATCATTGATTTTGAAATACTTGTTGACCATTTTGACGCAAACAATTCCAAATCTTTACTAACAATTGGTTCTAATGAAAATACACAATTATGTAATTTTAACGACCAGTCACTAATCATCTGACAACCAGTTGACAAAAAACCAGCTAATGGTAGCTTACTACGTAATGTGTAATGTTTCTTGATTTTGCCATTCAGACTTTCAAGTCCATTATTTGTCATTGGATATCGTAACGCGCTGCCTTCATACCAATATGGTAATGCATCAATCCACTCGCTTTGAAAATACATTCGAAACGTATCAAGACTAGTATCACTTTGCCACTTTTTCAATAACAACTTGCTTGCTTCATCGAATATGAAATCATTGCAACACAATTGTATTGAACATATGTCACTTTCGATTTGTGGCCATTTGTCATCAGGAACCATCTTTTTATGAGCTCGACATCGACGTATAACATGTGCCCAGCACATTAACCTGCAAATGAACAACAGTCTCTCTCTCTTTCAATCACGATTGTCATCTTTTGGGACCAACTAACCTCCTTATACATGGAAATTCTTGTTGTTGAGCTTTCGTTATTGCTTTGGAACCATCAGCCATCAGAAAATGTATGTAATACGCTTCATTGGTAACTAATGGTATACTCCATTTTAACGCTTTGAATAAATCAACATAACACGCAGTCGATTCATCACTGTGAACCAAGGCAATTCCAAACGGATGAAAATGTCGTTGAGCATCGCTTGTACCACACACGAGTACAGGAAAATTGTTCCAATTTAACTTGTATGTACCATCAACTTGTAAATACACAGACAAACTCGCTGTTGATAACAATCTTCTCGTGGTTATAAAAACGAACATTTCCGTAATATCATTCAATTTAAAATATGGCACAAATGGCGTATCACTCTCTGTTGGTGTATGCGCTGGTGTCTGTGAGCGTTCTATACACCAATCACGCAAATCACTCAATGAAAATGACGACGGATGATCCTTTGTGCGATAATAACCAACCAGACTTCTCACTTGTTTTTGTGCAGCCCATTGAGGGTGATCAATTGTAACTGCACGTCGAATTTGTGTTTCAGAGAGACCGGCAGCAACGTACGTCTTGACATCGTCTCGAATAGGTGATGGAGCGCGCGTTGTCAACGCTCGTTTTTCATGATCGTGTTTACCGAATTTA